GTTGTCTGTTCCTTCTTAACACCTGTTCTTTTGGTGTGACTACTTTATAGGATCTGGGATCTACTTTATGGGAAACTAGTGCTTTTTGGTTCCACGTTTGTCCATCTGAAATAAGTATAATTTCTTTGTTGTGCAGTTGTGGTAACTCCCTGGAACCCCTGTCATAGTACCATTTTTGTTGGAGTTTGTCAAATTTTTTAAATGTTCTCGCATCTTGCCTTTCATTCTGATGAGCATTGTCCACAAGCTTTTGCAGCCTGGTTTTGAGTTTCCTGCTAAACAGCATTTCTGTTGGGGACAATATTTCATGTATGTTGCCCTGTAATTTAAGAGTGACAGGTAAAATTCAGTGTGTGAATCTGTAGCTTTTTTCAACAGTTTCTTCACCATTTGTATTTCATTTTCCACCAGAGCATTGGATTGTGGGTATTTAGGACTTGAAGTGTTGTGACAGATTTTCACATTTGTTTGCAAACTCCTTAAACTCAAGACAGTTGAATTAAGGTTTGTTGTCTGTTCTCACAATTTGTGGAATCCTATGTCTAGCAAAAATCGTTTTGATATGAGTTATGACATAGTTTGCTGTTGTGCTTTCAAGCAATTTCAGGATAGTGAAAAGAATAATCCAGCACTAATACATATTTTTTCCCTGCATGTATGAATAAGTCAATGCCCTCTTGATACCATGGAGCTATCTGCGACCATCATGACCTCTTTTCTTTGTGCTAATCTGTACTTTAGGCACATTACAAACCTTTACAGCATCTTCTATGTCATTATTTATGTTGGACCAATATAGAGCATCCCTTGCTTTCCTTTTGCATTAGATGCTCCTCATGTATTTTGTTTAACATGTCTTTGTTTAGCACTGCTGGAACAACAAGTCATGAGCCTTTGAACAAAATGCTATCCAGTACTAACAGCTCTTCCTTGAGCTGAGAATAGGGCTAGGTATATGTGTTCCAGGACAACCAGCATAAAGAGCTGTTATCACTTTTTGCAATGTGGTGTCCTGCGTAGTAGCTTCTGCAATTAGTGCCCACATTTTATCTGTGACAGGAATCAATCTTTTAATTAGATTAATATATACTATGTCTGGAATTCTGTCATTTTCCATTGTGACATATGCTCTGGACAATGTATCTGCAATAAGTAGATGTTTTTGCAGTTGAAAGAAAGGTCTGTATTCTGGGTGGAATGTCTGATAAGCCTTTCTTTGATAAACCTTTGGTAACTATAGCAGTTTCAGTTTTCCATAGATGAATATATGAAATTTCCTACAGCCGTATACCAGAGCTAAACTTTCGTTCTCAATTTGTGCATCTAGACATTCTGACTTAAAAAGTGCCCTAGATGTATGTGCTACTGGTCTCCAGCTATCCTCATGTTTTTGAAGCAAAGCTGTTCCAATGCCTTCTTTAGAAGCATCTGTTGACAATTTAATGGGTCTTTTAGGGTCATAGTATTTTAGTACCGGAGCCCTCATTATTTTTTCCTTCAAGATTTTAAATTTGGCTTCATGTTCATGTTCCCATTTCCACTGAGCATTCTTTTGTAGGTGTGATCTAGGTGTTTGGTCTGCTCTGCTAAATTCAGGAGATATTTTCCTATAAAACTGATCACTCCAAGTAATCTTTGCACCCTGTCCTTATCTGTAGGGGGTGGCATGTTTATGATGGCCTTAGCCCTTGCAGGATCAATTTGTGTCCCTTTCTCAGAGAGCTTTTCTCCCAGATACGTTATTTCTTTGACTCTGAATTTGCATTTTTGTTTGTTTAGTTTCAAACTTGCTCTGTGAGCTTTCCCTAGTGCCTTATTTAGTCTCAGGTCATGTTCTTCCATAGTATTTCCCCAAAATGATACATTATCAATATAAACCATAGTTCCATCAAGACCTTAAAAAATGTGTTGCACCTTTCTGTGAAATACTTCAGATGCAGAACACAGTCCAAAAGGAAGCCTACAAAATCAATACCTTCTGAAGGGCGTATTGGTGGTACATAATCTGGTGCTATTCTTTTCTAGGGGAACTTGCCAAAACCTAGAAGAAGGATCCAAAATGGAGAAATATTTAGCTTCTGCCACATTGCCAAAAACCTCTTCCTGGATGGAAATGGGAAAATGCTCCTTTTTGATGTACCTCTTCATTTGCTTAGGACCCAGACACAATCTCAAGGATTCATCTATTTTTTCTATTATGACCAGTGAATGAACCCAAACAGTTGTTTGCTCTACTTTTTCTATTATGTTGTGACAGAAGATTATGCTACCTGCTGTAAAGATGTTCCAGGTCCCTGGGAAAAGGATGCCAAAGACTATAAGGAGTGCCGGAGAAGTTACTCCGAGCACAAACACTTACCTCATTGCAGACAAGAAGGGAAAGAACAGGTTGTAGGGAGATCACAGAAACCGAGGTTTATCAGCTCTGGTCAGTACTGGTTGGCTGGTCATGTGACGGGAAGCAGTTTAAAAATGTGCTCAGAAACAACTGCAGAAAAGAGAGGAAGACAAAGACAGAACTGGAAGGAGTAAATATACAAATAATGCTTGGACTATGCCCCAGCAGGGGCAAAGGAGGAGAGTCAAGAACTCTCTCCTTTTGAGGCTTGGAGGATTCTCTCTACTTACCTGAATCCAGAAGAAAGAAGGCAGTGCTCAGAGGGCTACTGGTTACTCGGTCTGGGAAAATCTGCAGAGTACAAAGACAACTAACCATGAGTGGTGGAGTTGCAGGCCTGGGGATCCACGAGAAACCCGAAACCCATTGTCCTGCATCCCACCTAAGGATAAATAGGGGTATACTAGAGACGGGGATCCCCATTGCTAGAGGCAATTAAGCCGTTCTCACCCAGGAAGAAGATGCTGAGTACAGGGGGCTAGCCATCCGCTGTTTGATAATATACAGAACCAAACCCAGGTCAGACAGCTCATTGGCTCAGTCTATCTGTTACCCTCAAAAAAACAACAGTGTGTGCAGAGAAATCATAGCCAGCCAAAGGTCAACAGTATTTTAGCCAGCAAGCCTCCCTCCTTCTTTTGGTTAACTAATTTATTTAGTTCCTTTTCCAGTTTCTCCCTTAGTACAAGGGGAACATTCTTGGAGCATGTAGGGTGGGAGTATTCGGTTCTCTTAATTCTATCTTGCACTCAGTTGAGTTTCCCTATGCCTTGAAACACATCATAACACTCTTATTCTATGTTCTTGCTTTCTAGTTCCTCAGTGGCATCCATTCACTTAATTAAACCTAGAGTTTCACATGTCTGCAACCCAATAATTGGCACTAGCTTTCCTGGGATTGTTACAAACTGAACTTTTACTATATTACCTTTGTGTCTAACATGCAGTGCACAAACACCCTTGGTTGCAATCATCTTCCCATTATATACTTTAAGTCTCAATTTCTTATTCTCATACTACACAGGTTTATTTTTTATTTTTTAAACAATGTATTCTGGTATTGCATTGACCTGTGCCCCTGTATCTAATTAAAAAATTATCATTAGTCCACTGGTGTCCGGGGTGATTTTTCCAGTCCTCAGAAGAATGCATTTCTTGCATTGTGCCAGTGAGGAATTCTTCCTTTTCCTCGTTGCACGAGCATGTACCTGCTGTTTCTTGTGTGTTGCATCCTGCTCCTTTATGCAAACCCTTGCAAAATGATTGAATCTTTTGTATTTGTTGTAGTACTTACCAAATGCAGGGAATTGGATGGGTTTGTGGTAATCCCCACGGCAGCTGCAGCTGACCATTGTTTCTTCAAGCAATTGTCTTTGGCCTCTGCTTGCATGCTTCATAGTGAGGTCCTCCTATCTGTATTGCTTGTGTGTTGCCTTGGGTTTTTGCAGTCTTAATCTTGTCTAGTTCAGTTTGTTCTGTTTTGTCCTCCAGCTTCTGCAGACTGGCATTTATCATCTCAGCTGCTTGGAACATTCTAACTGCCTTTTACAAATTAAGCTCAGGATCCTCTAACAGTCTTTTTCTGAGGTTTATATTCCATATACCCAGTACTATTTGGTGTATGATCGTGGACTCTTTTAGGTCTCCAAAGTTGCATGTCTGGCTCAGCAGTCAGGGGTCTTTGACAAACTCCTCTATTGTTTCACATTCTTTCTGCTACCTCACATGAAAATTATACCATTCAAAGGTTTCATTTTATTTGGGTATACAGTATTCCTCAAACTTTTTTTTATTACTGTGCCATAGCTTTTCTGTTCTGCTTCTGACAGTTGTAGACTATTATAAAGAGACAGAGCTTCTGGGCCTGCTATGTTTAAAACAAACAAAAAAAAAGTTCCCTTGAGTGAATCTTCCCTCTCTGCAGCTCCACTGGCCATCATGTATATGGTGAAGCTTTGCTTAAATTACTTCCAGTTTTCTGCTGCATTGCTGTACAGCTTTAACTCCTCTGGAATTCTGAGATACTCTATTTTTTCTTTCTTTCTTTGCACCTCACTCCTGGTACCACGCATAGTTCTCAAAAGATTAAGGAGTTAAGCTTATATAATGATAACACTTGTTTATTCAGAGAGCAGTACCCTGTCTAGAGTTCTTTTGTTTCTTCTTGCAATCCCTAGGCAAATGTAGCAACTTATACACAACACTCTTAAAGGTAGCCAGACATTGTCCAAGCATAGAGAGCGCAGCAGGCAAGATTCTGCTTCCCCTCCCCACTGCCTGCTCTCCAGTGGTAAGCATCATTTCCCCTCTCTGCCCCCTGCCACTTCCGCCTCAGTCACTGAAATATCTTGCTATGCTCCTGGTAGGCCTTGCTATTTCTGGTATCTGCTAATTTCTGATTGTTTTGCAAACTTAATCGTTTGCATGTGGACTTTTCTAATGTAATTATAGAATATAGCATACCAGAAAATCCATCAGTATAAGCCTCTACTACAGTTATCTAGGTGTATCAGGATGTTGAATAAACCCATCATGTCCTCAGTAAATGCCACATGACTGACTCAGCCTTCTCAAACCCTGTCTATAATTTCTGTCTCTCTAGCAGCACCAGAAATGGGTGACCATCTGACTGCCTACTCGGACATGACATTTGATCATTCTAAAAGGCAGAAACCTGGAGACAAAGGTACGGTGTGGAATCAAACATCACTGTAGAAAAATACCTTACATGCACATAAAAAAACCAACTATGAATGATTAAATGCAGCCAACGCAAAGCTTGACTATAAGCACATGGCCTATACTGGGCAAACATGTTGATAAGAACATTTTGTGTGTATGTGGCTCTTAAAAAAATGGCCAATTGTTCCCCAGGAGGCATGGAACACTTGGCCCAGAAGTATTGCAATACCTGGCTAGCACTTGGAGAGGCTGCAGCAAGTTCCAGCACTTTCTCCCGGTGCCAAAAATGTGTAGCCAAAAGGCTGAGGAACTAGGGGAAAAGCACAAAAGCAATTCTCCATTGCCACAAAATTGATGGGAACCTTATTTAAAAAAAAAAAGGCGGTTGCTCCCTCAGGAAGGAATGAGCAGCAGGCCTAGTGGCCAGTGGGAGGAAACTGGAGCAAGTTCCCACACATTTCTCTGGTGCCAAAAATGCAGATTGGAACCTAACAGAATGAAAGGCTAGTGCCAAAAAAATAATTTTTTTTACAAAAATATATATTTCTATTTATATATACATAAATAGTACTTTTACAAAAACCATCCTTTGGGAACTGTGGCAACACCCCACACCCCTATGTCTGCATGCCCTCATCACCAACCACAAACATAGGCCAATACTGACCACCAGAGCAAAACATATGGAAGTATTCATTGAGTGCAATCCCTTTCAACAGGAACTCTTTTTAAAGTCATGCTGAACCACTACATTGCATACATTTTGCCTTCCTCTTCACTCTCACAAGTGAGTTGCACTTTTCTTCCCCATTTCAAATGATTCACCAGCCTTAAATGTCTGGCAAACATCACCAGATGGGGCCCCGAACACTTTACCCCAGAATCCTTCTCTCAGCCTGTCACACATAATTAGTGTGGCCCCACCCCCAATGAGGTGAACTCAGACCAGGTTGCCCTATGGCTCATCTACTTACCAATTTTTTGAGGATCATGGGACTTATGACAAGAACACTTGGCTTCAGTCATGAGTGGGGGGCTAAGTAACACATGGATCTTTTGTCAGGTATATGGAATACATACACATAATAAGCAGTGCTGAGCTGTGGGGTCACTATGACTTTAATGCTGTTGACTCTGGTGGGGCCCAACTCAGTGAACTATGTGATAAATAATGAGCTTTTTGGCGCTGGACTAACTTGATCAGTCAATTTGGAATTTGGAACTAATTTGGTCATAAGCTAAAAAAGTGTTTGCTCTATATATAAGTACGTTCCAAAGTGCTACAAAAGTGTGTTTAAACTTATAGCAGTTAAAAAAAATGTAAATGCATTAGTTCTGAATAAAGTAAGTCTATGGGTGCTATATGTAAATTGTTATAGCTGTTTTTATTTCAAGGTCAGTTTTTTTCAAATTTCCTTCTCAAGTCCATGTGTTCATGGACAACAGGGTCTGACAATCGAGGGAAGAGTGGGAAAGGGGATGAAGGGGGTAGAAACTGGGGGTGAGGGCAGAGGCCAAAGGGACTACCTGACCCCTTAGATTTATTTTCCCTAGTGTAGCAGTTGGAGGAGGACAAATGCAAGACAAACCTCCAATTATTAGTTTCTATATCTAAATGATATCAAATTTATATATGGAAAATTTATACATTCTAATTAATGGGACAATTATTCTAATTGTCTTATATTCGAGTAGATATGGCAATAGCACTCTTTATTCAGGGGCTGTGGTAGAAAAACTTACAATAGTTTTCATAGGTTTTACCACCATTAAGTAAATTCTGCTTACCAAGAAAAAGAAAACGGCAGAGTCATGTCCCCAAAGTTCTTCTTTAACTTGTTTAGGAAGTTCTGATTCTTTACCTGTGTGACTTTTCAGACTCATTCACCCATTTATGTTTTCTTCTCTTTGCTTGATTTCATACCCAAAAAGTAATCTCAAATGCAACCCAGCATTCTTGTCCTCATGATATACAAACTCACTGATGTTCTTTTCCTTTTAAATATTACTTTGGCTACCCCATCTCATGAAATATAGTCCTACAATGATAAATGGGGGATGAGAGTTTCTTTTGCCTCTAGCCATCATTCAAAATTCATGTTTCTGAAGATTTCAGTTCTGCTTAATTTTCCTGTATCAGCGACAACAGCAAAGCAGTCCTTCTAGACCATGTTCCAGGTTGCTTTCCATTACTGATAAAGGTATTAACTGGAATCTGTTATGGCCAAAGAAATAAGTATATCTTAACCTGAAACCTGTGTATGCTTAATGACAACTTTGGTATTCTTGGGGTGTTCACATCAAAGGCTATGACAGAATTTTTCCTAAGAGTTTATAGTCAGTTTCCATCTTAGATTGCCAGGAGCTGTGTAAGAGAACAATTGAGTCATTGGGTGGGAAGGGACCTCAAGGGTCATCTCATCTAACAATCTCTTGTTAATGCAAATGGCATCCTGAGTAGAACAAGTGCAGGGACAGCTGTATTCTCCACAAGCATCACACAGGGGACAAGGTTCATAGATTCATGGATGTTAGGGATGGAAGGGACCTCAGTAGTTCATCGAGTCTGACGCCCTGCCCTGGGCAGGAAAGAGCACTGGGGTCAACGGCCCTAGCTAGGTGCGTGTCCAGTCTCCTCTTGAAGACCCCCAAGGTAGGGGAGAGCACCACCTCCCTTGGAAACTCATTCCAGATTCTGGCAATGTTTACTGTGAAGAAGCTCTTTCTAATGTCCAACCTAAATCTGCTCTCTGTCAACTTGTGGCCATTGTTCCTAGTTACTCCAGGTGGTGCCCTAGTAAAAGAGCATCTCCTATTCCCTGCTGCCCTCCCTTGATGAATTTATAGGCAGCCACAAGATCACCTCTCAGTCTTCTCTTGTGAACGGTGAAGAGATCTAGGTCCCTCAGTCTCTCCTTGTAGGGCCTTGCCTGCAGGTCTCTGACCAAATGCGTGGCTCTCCTCTGAACCCTCTCAAGATTCTCCACATCCCTCTTGAAGGGCAGCGCCCAGAACTGGATGCAGTACTCCAACTGTGGCCTGACCAGTGCTGCACAGAGGGGAAGCATCACCTCCCTAGATCTGTTCGTCATGCATCTGCTAATGTATGATAAAGTGCAGTTAGCCTTGTTGATCACTTTGTCACATTGACGACTCATGTTCATCTTGGACTCATGTCCAAGATCCCTTCCTGCTGCTGTGCTGATGAGAAGGTCATCCCCCAGCCTGTAAGTGTGTTGGTGTTTTTTTTTTCCCCCAGGTGCAGCACTTTGCACTTGTCTTTGTTGAACTGCATCCTATTTCGTTCTGCCCATTTTTCTAACCTGTCCAGATCTGCCTGGATCCATCCCCTACCCTCTGGTGTGTTAACTTTGTCCCATAATTTGGTATCATCTGCGAACTTGGATAGGGTGCTCTCCATGCCCTTGTCCAAGACACTGATGAAGACACTGAATAGCACCAGTCTAAGGACCGAGCCTTGTGGGATTCCACTGCCCACATCTTTCCAGTTCAATATCGATCCATCCACCACCACTCTCTGGGTGCGACCCCTAAGCCAATTTACCACCCACCTGACTGTGTAATCATCTACATCACAGTCTGTCAGTTTCATTTTGAGAACAGAATGAGATACTGTATCAAAGGCCTTCTTAAAGTCTAGGTAGATGACATCTACCTCAACTCCTGTGTCTGAAGAACTCATGGTGCCCTCCTCCTCCTATCAGTCCCTGCTGTTGTTTCCTGAGAAGAAAAAAGTCTCCATCACTTATGGACATGCCTAGTCTGGCTTTAACAATCACCTTTTGTGTCAGTTCCTGCAGAATCCAGTTCTTCAGGGCTTCATTAATTTTCCAGGATAGAATGATAGTGGGGGGTTTGTTGCCTATAAATGCTTGGATACAGAGCTCTGTGAATTAAGGATTTTTCCATTCAGTAAGTAAAGGAAAACATCACCATCATCAACAATAAATAAAATTGGTTCGGGTCCATCAGAAACATTTTGCTTAACAGAAATAGAGTTTTTAGGTAATTTAACATTTTTCCCCCATTCCTTTAATAAATATAGACCAAATTCTAAAGACTAAAATGACATCAGTTTGAAATGAGACGTCAAAACCTATCTCTTCAGGAACACTGAAACAAAATATTTAATCTCTTTTTAAAATAAAATTTCCTCCATTTTTGGTCAGAACTTTTTACTGTTTGGCTTGAACTTTTCAATAGTTTCAGCCCTTGTGAAACTGCATTTTTCACAATTCTTTCAATTTTAATATTTGCCTTCTACAATTTCTCTCATATCAACTCATTGCAGACCATGTCATCAAACTCAATATTCAGCCCTTCAAAGGAACTTTCATTTTGTCCGCACAATGATTCTTTACACATGACCTTAATTATTCACAGGTCTTAGTTATTCACAGTTATTTCACTGCCAATATCCCATTCACTGGTAACTTCTCTGTATGTGCCCTCTTTTGGTTATCATTTCTCCCTCCCAGAAGTGAGATGGAATATTTATGGGGACCATTTGGCTTGGACTGCTGTATTGACTTGAGCAGCAACAGGTGTCTTCTGTGATCCTTTTCAATTCTTTTCTTCCCATGTGGGATTACAGACCAGTGAAGAACCCTGTTGCAATATTGTTTTGTTTCCTGACACACTGCATTACTGCTCTCTACAAAGCGGAGTTTAAACCGTGTGTTCCCCTTCTCTCACCAGTGGTACAGAAGGAAATGACAATGTACTCTGAGCTGATGTTTCAGAAAATATCTGAGCAGAAGAGAAGCACAAGGCCTCAGCGAGCAGAAGGCAGAGGGGCTGATGGCAACCTAAGCCCATTGAGGAGAAATAAAGGTAACCTTGTCCTGGTTTCAGAGCAGTCCTGAGACATCTCATCTTTCTGTTATCACCATCAGAATAAAAAGCATGTGCATGGGTTCTTCATTTTGTACTAAATCTACCTGCCAGATGATACATAACTCATGGGACTTCTCATCTGAGTCATTCACTAGCACAGACCAGCCCTGCAGCTTGTAACCAGCTTTTTAGTGCTTCTACAATGCAAGTGCTCTGCTCCTGGCCATGCTGTTCCTTTTCTGTCCATGAAACCTCTTCTAAGCATAGTCTTTTTTTCTTTAGGGTGGTCAGGTTTTTTCCACCAGGAATGAGCAAAAGATTCTTACTTGTATTTTTTAGTAACATTTGGGATTCTCAGATAATAATCTGATTGCAGCAGCTGGGAGTTAAAAAAACCAAATAATTAATTAAAAACTTGTTTCAGTGCTTCCCCACCCTCCAAGCGAGACAGTTTTCCTCTAATATCCAACCTAAATCTCTGTTGCTTCAACTTGAGTCCACATCTTAGTCCACGGCCTCAAAAATGGCTGGAAAATCACATTGCAGCCCACAATGGGTCACGTGAAGATATTTTGGCCACTTGGCATTCTCCCACTTACCTGCTGCTTGGTTACCTCCCACTGCTTGGACAGTGCTGTTCTGTACTCTTCTGTATCTATGATACCGTCTGTACTCCACCAACTTTGGCAAAGAAGCTAAGAGAAATAATCCATCTGTGCCAACTAATGCTGTGATCCATTTTTAATTATTGGTGCTGTTAGCTCCTTGAACACAGTGAATAGTTGAAACAATGGAAAGAATTGTTCTGGGTGTGATATCTAGTGCTTGAATGGTAGGGATATGTAGGGTTTTTTTCCCCTACGGCCATTTAGTTAGATTTTCCACCAATATACAAGTGCATCAATTTTGTTAGTTTCAAGACTTTTATCAAGACAGCACATTTAGAGTGACATGCTATTCTTTACTGGTCATCTAAGTGGCCATATTTTGGTTTTCTAAAGGTATTTTTATTGCTTACCTATCCAGGGGAAGTTTCTTGCTGCATTTGTACCCCTGTGTGCATGAATGACTATGTAGCTGCACCAACTGAGTAGTGTCATAGCCAGTATACATGTCCCTTGTGGACATGGATCAGACTTAGATGCCTGAAAATGGAATTGCGCAGAACCTGTGACTATGGACCTTAGCCTCAGGAGCAGGAACAGTCCTGTGTGTGTACTTTCCATAGCTCAGTGACTATGATCTCACCCGCAATGTGGGAGGCCCCGTTTCACCCCAAGGAAGTGTGATCCTATTTTCCTTCCTAGCACAGCATCCTTGGGATGCTGTGGGGTTTGAACTAGTGCCTCTTTTTCTTCATGGCACAGCACTCTAACCACCACAGTACAGGTCAGCCATCACTCACAACCTTCTCCACTCCTCTTTTTGTAGCTGAGCCACTAAGGTAGTCTTTGGAAAAAATGAATGGAGGGCAGTGTAGGAGTGGGGGACTTCTGTCCCACTGGGAAGAAGGGCCCTGGCTAAAATCCAGGGCTTTCTTCCTTCTAGGCCTGAGGCCACCTGACTGACCCACGTAGCCTCTAGCTTGCACCTTTCCTTCTGGCTCTACATCTCTTTCAGAGACCTCAGTCTCATGGCTGCCCAGGGACCAGCTTCCAAAGAAGCATCTGCAAAAGTACTGGGTGTTGGCTGATCTGGTGTGGTTGTTAGAATGATGTGAAGTCAGAGAAATCCAGAGACAAACTCCTTTTGGGTGAGAGATGCCTAGAATCCAGGGCCTTTGGTGTTCTAGGTGAGTGCACTAGTCACTTAGGGCGTGTGTAGATGAAACAAGGCCCTAAATTGAAGTGGTGGGTTTTTAAAAACACTGCTTCAATTTAGGGTCCTTTAAACCCCCATGTTGTACACACACCCGTGCACTTACCTGCCTCTCTGGTGGTGGGGAGGGGAGGGCGAGCTCCCGGCTGGCAGAGTGGAGCACAGTGGTCCCTGACTGGTGCTTCCCTCTGCAGCAGCAGCAGCACCCCCAGGCAGCACCCGCCTGCAGGCACCCAGCTCAGGTGGTCCTGGGGGGGCACCACAGCGGAGGGAAGCACCAGGTCTCTGTATAGCTCAGGCAGCCAGGCAGGCTCCAGAGGGAGCAGAGGGGAGATCTTGGGTGGAGCCTGCTTTCCTGGGCTGCGGCCAGGCTGCCTGCGGGCTTCCTGCAGAGCCACAAAGCTGCACGCAGCCTGGTGCTTCGCTCTGCGGCTGTAGGGGCAGTAAATTAAAACTCCTCGGAGTTTTAGTTTGCTGCGCCAAGTCATTTAAGGTGCATTACACCACCAAATTTCCTACAGTGGCTGGAATTAATGTGCAATATGCCGCTGAGGCATGCAAACACCAACACCATTAAAGAAGTGCAAAAGCATTTAGCCTGCTTTAAGGTGTCATGCACACATTCCCCTCTTTTCGTCTACACTTGGCCTTAGCTACAGGGGGGAAAAATATGGAGGTCTCTTTCTCTCCCTCCCCATGTACAGGGCTATGCATCCAGGAATAGAATTCCTTTGGAGGTGTAAATACCAGAAATGCTCCATAGATAACTAAGCTACAGCCACTTTGGTGACCAGAAAACAATAGAATGCCACCCTTAACTATGATATGTCCAGTGCTGCCACTGGCCATTATCTTCACCAGAGCATAACAAGTCAGCTGGCAACCTGGGCAGCTGTGGCAACTTTCAGCTGCCACTGACCCAATCATGAGGCTATTTTTTTCACCTTCCCTCCAACTTGGGCCAGGGGCTGCTGCCCCACTTGCCCCACCTTGGTTATGTTACCAGTCTTCACTGATTCCTAACTTCTCCTGCTACTCCACTTATTTATGCCTTCCCCTCCTCCATCCCATACAGCTATTTCAAGGAGACATTTTTAAAGTTGCCCACATGAGCTTTTTTCACATGAGCTTATTTGATTTGTGACATAATGTTTTCTGTAGTTTTGCAGGTTGGCAATATATTCATGGGACATTATTTGCATTTCTTTGTCAGATCCTTCAGTTTCATCTCTTCAATGGCAACTCACTGCAGTTATTTTTGGGATCCTCTGCCTCATTTTATTGGTAGCAACTGGAGTTTTGGGTATCATAGGTAAGTTTAGGAGAGACAAGAGTGTTTTCTGGTGGTTCAAGGTGGAGACTGAAAAGCTGTATTACTTTCAGGATATCATTAATATATTAGGTTTCTCTGTGGACTGTATGCAGTTCAAAGCAGGGTGTGGGACCTGATAAATGAGAAAAACAAGCCTCCACATAACTCATGTTTGTCTATTTACATGTCTTTGTAGTGGCTTTCTTTAGTAAGCGCCTTCTTGTTCAAGACAAATTGTGACTCCATGACAGACTGGGAACCAGAAACAATCAAGATTTTGGGTACTATGTAACCCAGATCCCTAGACCTCCAAGTCCTCCCTTTGATCTGGGGAAATGAGAATTGTAAAGGAAAATATTGGATTTTCAGTGCAAAAATGGAATTCAAACTGAGCTGAAGCAAAATGACCATCTGTAATAGAGGACCCAGGCTTGGGGAATAAGAGAAAGGGAGAAGAGGGAACTGTGGGCACCTATAAGGCATGGGCATGACTATGGGGGGTGGCTGGAAGTCACAAATTTAGCCCTTAAGGCATGTAGGGCTGAAGAATGAATACTGAGACGGAGAAAGAAAGAGAGCAACTAGGTTCACCAATATCAGAGGGCAGCCTCTTCTTACTTTAACAACAAGGTGGAATGGGCAAGAGGAAATTGGATGAGTCCCTGGAAGGCTGGAGCAGGCACACAACAGGATAGGGGTGGCCAAAAGGTGGCGTGATGGCAACCCCTGGAGCTTTGCCTGTGACACCGGTAAAGTAAAAAAGAGCCAAGGTTCTGGTCTCTACATAAGCAGTGCCATGCTAACATGGAGAGTATACAGATATCCCCTACATGGCCTGCTGGAACAATTTATATCTAAATTGGGTAAGTTCAGTTTGGGGCCTGTTAACTGGGGTCATGTCCTGTGAGACATCTCTGTTCACAGACATCACTGACATTTGGGAGAACATGCCCCACGGTGATGAGTCTGACCTTGTTTTCTACCCTTAGCCAAGTGACTTCACTTCACTGTGCCTTTTTCTTTCTTTTTAACTTATCAAAAATATTTAATTTTGAATCAGTTTGACATTAACCTGCATAAGGCAGGTCGGAGGTTGGGGAGGGACACACAGTGCCTGAGTGGAGTTGTTCATTTGCCATCTTCATTCAGGAGTGCTGAATGAGCTGGCCGAAGTCATTGTGGAGTCCCTGGTGAAACTCTTCCACAACTTGTGGCCCTCTGGAGAAGTCCCTGAGGACTGGAAGAGGGCCAATGTTGTGCCCATTCACAAGAAGGGCAGGAGAGAGGACTCGGGTAACTATGGGCCAATCAGCCTAACTTCCATCCTAAGGAAAATCCTAGAACAGTTTATCAAGGAGTCTGTCTATGATAAGCTTGCAGAAGGTACAATTCTGAATGATTACCAGCATGGCTTCATTGCGGGCAGGTCTCATCTTACCAACCTCATCTCCTTCTATAACCAGATGTGGCAGGGCACTGTGTGTGCCTGCCACTTTAAGGGCCTCAGCCAAGCAGCCAGCAAGTGCCTGATTGAGGCAGCCATTTTTGATTCAGGGCTGCCCAAACAAACAGGGCATTTTGCTGCTGGCTGGAGAGGCAGCAACATTGCTTGGCTGTGAAGCTCCATAGCAACCTGGAGGTAAGGGAGGAGCTGTAGGGGATGGTTAGGAGGCTCCTGGTCCTGGGCATGACCTGAAACTGCACCCTGCTGGGAGTGGGTGGCCTGGTGGGGCTCTCAGTGGTGTGGGAGCCCCCAGGAAATGCCAGGCCAGTTACCACCCCAGTGAAAGGCGGGTCAGGGTGCCTTAACCCCAGCCCCCACGACCGGGTGGGTAAACCCTGAGTAGGGGCCAGAAGGTAGACCCCAGGAGATAGAGTGGGGCTAGAGGCTTAGAGGCCTGATTGTAGAGTACCCTTGACTGGCCTGGGCTGGGGCCAGGGGCCCACAGCGAGGGATGCCCAGAGCTAGGAGGGCCTGGGGTTTCCAACCAGCCTTGGAGGTGAGGCTAGGGCTTGTATGGCCAAAGGTCCTGGAGGGAGACACTCCTGAGAGGGGAACTGGTTCAGGGACCTAAGCAGCCCTGAATGAGGGTGGAGTAGGCTGCCTGAGTGGAGGGATCCAATTGGGGTCTGAACTGGACGATTCTGGGGACCAGTGTGGGGCCAGTGAGAGTAACATCAGTGGATGCCATCTGCGAGGCATGGGCTGCCGTGTAGGGGAGGTACGGAGCTACAGATAGTGCCCCCCAGCATCAGGGCAAGAAATGGCCAGCCTCCCGCTTAATTAACAACTATTAATTAATTAACATCAAGGCATGGCAGGCGAGAAGGCGGGCAGTTGGCCCAGGAACAAGTGAGTGGGCCACAGGGAAATTGGCCCAGAGAAGGCCCCCTGTTACACCAGGTAACTTCCCACCTGGACATGAGAAAGTAGGTTAACATTGTATACCTTGACTTCCAAAAGGCCTTTGATCTAGTATCCCACAATGTCCTCGAGAGAAAATTGAGAAGTGTGGGCTAAACTCCAAGACAGCCAGGTGGGTGAGAAACTGGCTTCAGTATAGGACCCAGGGCGGCATAGTGAATGGATCTTTGTCATCCTAGTGAGAAGTGGGTGGCAGTGTCCCGCAGGGGTCAGTGCTTGGTCCAGTACTTTTCAACATCTTTGTTACCAATTTGGATGTGGGGGTGAAGAGCTCATTGGTCAAGTTCACAAACAACACCAAGTTATGGGGGAGCATGGTCATGCTTGGAGATAGGCTACAGATACAGGAAGACCTAGACAGGCTGGCAAGTTGGGCAGATCAGAACCTGATGAAGTTCAACATTGAGAAATGTAAAGTGCTCCATCTGGGGACGAGCAACCCCCAACACACCAACAGGCTTGACAGCACCAAACTGACTAGCACCACGAATGAAAGGGACCTGGGGATAATATAGACCACAGTATGAATGTGAGCTGGCAGTGATGCTGTAGCCAGTAGGGTACATAATACACTGGCAGGCATCGATGCATCTCCAGCAAAACCAAGGAGGTGATTCTTCCACTCTACTCACCATTGGTGAGACCGCATTTGGAGTACTGCATCCAGTTCTGGGGACCACACTTTGACAAGGACTTGGACAAGCTTGAGAGAGGGAGGGAGGGGGGAGGGAGGATGCCAAAATACAACTTCTTTCAGAGTGCAATTTTCCTTAAGGCTGGGTGTACCTGCAACCATTTTTCTTGCTGTGCAATTCAGCATTTCCCATCAGAACTTGGGAAGGGATTTTGTGGTGGCAGCTGCAGTAGGGGGAGGGCACGAGAGGGTTCATACGTCCAGAACTCGCTGTGTTAACCCTGGAGCTGCTGGCCTTGCCAACATCTCCTCTTCAGAAGTGACTATCTCCTCTTCCCTGTAGCTGGCCAGGGGCACAAACTTCACCAATTATTCCTGTGAGTTTAAGGCCAAACTGACTTGACAGATACCAATCCAGTTCAGTTAAACAAACCAAAGTGTTATGATCTTCCTGTGCAAAAACTTGAAACTGAAATTTCCTCACAGAAGATGCTAGCTTTGCAGAAACTGCATTTGCTGTTAAGAAATAATTTTGGCACAAAATCCCTGGCTGGGTCTAGTGGTCACTCTTGCCATTACACTACCTGGGAACAAGCTTTGTTGCTGTTGCAGCCTGCTCTGGGTCATGCTGGACAGAAGTAGTGACACTGTGATCTGGAAGCTTTCACATAACAGTTACATTGTGGTTTCCAGTACTCCCTCCACAGTTACTTCAGCTTCTTAGCAGATGTTGTGCAATGAGTGTGGTCTTCTGTAGGCCCGACTACTTTGGATTTGTGCTACTAGAGCTGGGCAGGGACCTCATTTCACTTCTGCAAAGAAAAAAATAATTGAGTTTGGAAAATGTTTTAATTCCTAATCAGGACAAAAAGTCAAAACCTAGATACTTTTCTGGAGAAATGAAATTCCTCCATGGCTTGTTACCTAGAAGCCAGAGCAACTACAGCTTTGTGGCAGCCCCCAAGGCAATCCTGGAAGCCCGTGCAGCTGTAGCTCTAGTACCTTAAAGGAGAAAACATCTAAGGAGTCAGGAAGTCTGGGCTACATGTTAGACCTTCATATGGAAAGCTGGGAAGGTAGGGGGAAAGGTGAGCTGGTGGCAAATCATTTAGAAGGGCTCAATCTGTAAAAATCATTACATTCTTGGTGGAAAATGGCTCCATCAAATCATACTAGTGGAGCTAGGGCTTGTGTGTCACCATGATACAGAAAACATTATGGCTACCAAATTCTGCTAAGCCTGTATTACAACAGACACTATTGAGCTGTTCTGATGTTCCAGTCATGGAGCTGAGCCAAGAGAAGAAAGACCCCACCCAGTGTCTGAAGTCCTGCCCAGACCCAAACAGAAGCGTTCCAGGATTGCCACTGGATCAACCTCCTGACAAAGGTAAACTCTGGGAAGGGAGAGGCCCAAAAGTTCATGTGGGGCTGCCCTGGCCCTGCAAAGTGCCATTTCCCTTCCTAAAAACGTGTGGGCCTGGGGTATGGGATCCCCATGGAGTTGCTGCCAAAAGGTCCAAAAAATGCTCAGAAAAGGCATAAATGAAAGATTGCAGTCTCCTGGTTTTATCCTTCATTTCAAAATTAAAGATGACTAGCCAAAAAGGAGAAAAATAGTCCAAATCAAATGGAAAGGTTTCAGATTACACAAATGAAATGTTCAATTGATGAAAACACAGAATAAACTGGGTTTTTGATTTTAACAAGGTTTTTAGGATTTTGCCTTTTGTCTGAATTTAGGACAGGAAAATGTTTTGACTTGCAAGAACCTTTGAGGAGAGGAAAAACATTTTCCCTAGTGATCATGACCTGTGTCCCTCTTTGGGACTGGTGCATCTCAATCAGGGTTTGGTGCTCTTATTTCTTACCCACCTTCCCTACTAGAGATGAGCTTTCCCTCCCTAGCTCCATCTGGGCTCAAGGGATTGGTCTGGCCTCAGCCAGGGTGGTGGTGGCTTTTTGGCTGGTTTGTCTTGTCCCACAGAGAGCCAGAGAAGCCAGCTCCTGCTGTTCTCGCATGGCAGCAGCTGCCGCTTCTGGAAGTGAAAGGACCATCCCCATTTTGATATATGGGGCAGGACCTCCCCTCACCGTAGGGCCCATGAAACATAAGCCGTGTCACTGGAGGAACATGGTGGGTGTGAAATTCCCTCATTCTTGATGGCAATGTCCCCAGGGAGAGAGGTGGCCTGATGCGGTGTATGTTTTTCCAGAGAAGTGTCTGGTGCGGTGGAGTCACACAGAGAAAAGATCCTACCTCTTTTCCTCTGAAAACAGACCTTGGGCACAGTGTAATTCCTTCTGCAGTTCTCACTCTGCCAGCCTACTCAAGATTGACAGCCAAGATGAGCTGGTGAGCCCATGTTACTTTTGACATAATACCCAGCAAGTGAATAGGGTCAGCTGGGAATCAGGTCCTGGGGCTGGGTTTCTGCAGCCAAGTGCAGACCAGGTAATGCCAGGAGTGGGCTTCTGAGTACTGGGGGGCATGAGTGGGTGTTTTGCACAGGTATAAGCTTAATTGTATATCTGCATTTTGTGTTTCTCTTTAGCTGTGCATGTGTGACAGTTACTACAGTGTTACCTGCAGGGTGTTTGAGATCACACATGGCTGTACTGGCACAGGACCTTAGGCAGGTACATGGTACCAGGGCTGTCTGCAGAGATAATCTCTACACAGATGTCTATGGTGATGCTGCATAGGGAACTCCTGGCACCCGGCAGGTGTGGTCATGCACCTGAGAGATCTCGCTTTCTCTCCCATTTAATCAGGATTTCACCAAGAAGGAGTCATTTGAGTATTCTGAAGAACGTGGAAGTGCTACGTACTACTACCCATTCTGGACTGGATTGTCGTACAACTCTGAAACAAAGACATGGGTCTGGGCGGATGGCACAGGTGTCTCCCCTGGCCTGTAAGTCTGTGCTAACTAGGGTGTCCACAACTCTGCACCAAAATGCAGCAAAAGCCACTGAGTGAGTTTCATCATGGGACTGAGGGTCTCAGACAGGTCCGTTAAACACAGTTATGAACTTTGTAATAGACTCAGTGAGTGCCAGGCCCCAGCAGGAAGCACACGTCTGAACTGGCCCCAGGTGTTTGAAAGGCTGTAGTTGTGTGCTGGATCTCTTGTGAAACAAATTTGGCCTGAGGGCTCAAGGATGGTGGTGAAGAAAGGCAGCGTCACTCTCTGTCTTGTGGCCTGCATCCAGGCATACTGACCAGCTGGTTGGCTGAAGACAGCATGTGTGGATAAGGCACGTGTCCATTAGCTTGTGAGGGACCTTCTCGAGAGCTCACCTTATACAGCATGAGGGCCCCATCCCACCAGAACAGCATAGGAAGTGCCACACTGGGTCAGAGCAATGGTGCATCTAGCTCAGTATCCTTGTCTCTGAGAGTGGCAGACGTGGATGCTAGACAGGGAGGGCACTGAACCAGATATCTCTGGAGGGGTTTATCTTCTATCCAATATCCTCCCTGCCATCCACCATTCCTTATGTTGGACATGCCAGAGGAAACATCTCCAGAGATGCCAGAGGGAATATCATGAAACATCATTAGCTGTACCCTGGCTACATGTGTTAGGCTCATAAGGAGCAGAGTTTATGCCCTGGGCAAACTCTGTGGGAGAGTGGTGATGGAGGTGTACAGGAGCCTTACCCACAATATTAACTCAAAAACAGTCCCCAGCTGCAGTGGTTGTGGCTGCTGCTGGCACTGTAGTATGGTCTGCCTGCCTCAATTGTTGCTCTTTCAGCAAAACCGAGGTGTCCATCACTAACCGCTGTTGCTGCAAGAGCAACACCATGGGGCTGCTCTTGTGGCCAGGGCATGGGCTCCAGTGGGGAAGAGGGTGATTCTGACTCCCCCCCTGAGGTGTCTTCCAGGGCTGGTGCCCTGTTCACCCACCCTGAGTAACACATCTCAGTAGTGTGGGTTATACAACATCTTCAGCAGTATCCGTGTGAAGCCTAGTGACTGACTAGGCTTACGAGTCCAACAGCACAGTTCATATTAAGGGCCATTCCCATGTTTCTTGTAGATTGACTCACCACAAACAATAGCAGCCATTTGAGATCGCTCAAAGGTTGGCAGCGTTAGATCCATGGGGTCCCTGGGGTCAGTGAGAGGAGAGGCGTCTGGTGCATTATGAGTGCAGTATACACGGGAGAGTCACATGATACAGGAATTTATCTCACGGATAGTGTCTGCACTTGTGCAGTCTGTGGATGGTATGTGGGAGCCTGGGGCCTGGAGACACCTCTGGGAAGAGGATTTAGTTGTAGGAAAAGGAGGACAAATACCTCCATTCTGTGTGTTTGATTCCAGGAGGAGTTTCTGGAGCATCAACAGTTTCCTTCAGTGAAGTTTGGTCCAGACTTGGTCTAGTGACCACACCTGCTTGTTGAAGCTCAGTCCAGTGTCAGTACAACCAGGGGAGAGGACTACTGGTCCTGTGTCATGGTGTGCTGAGCTCAGGGGGATGGACCTGAACTGTAAACTGTGATTTTTCATTCCAGGATTAATCCCTTGGTCCCCAGTCATGGAAATGATGCAGGTGGCACTTGCGTGTATGTCCAAAGTGCGACGTTTAAGCCAGACACATGTGAACAAACTCGATTTTGCATTTGTGTGAAGATGAAAGCAGCAGGAACAAACTAAGTGCATTGACCCAGAGACAGGTGAGGCAATGGGAGCTGATGGGGGAGATGGCTGTAGCAGAATGGGGAGTGTGTGGCTGTGGAAATGAAATGGCCCCACCAGAAAACAACCTGGGTTCTTGTGCTGCCGTTTGCAGGGGCAACAGTAGAGAGCTGAAATCCCTCATGGGCCTTGAGACTAACAGCCTGGGACCTCTGGGATGTTGCACAGACACAGGCAAACCTCAACTCTTTCATTTCATGCATGTGTAATTTGACACAATCTCTGTTCCCAACAGCCCACCTGCAACTGTTGGAGCCTGCAGAGACAGGGTACTTGTGCTTCTGTCACATCTTATTTTCAAGGCTGTGTGATGGGTTTGTGGTTTGCTGGCAACCACATGAGCAGCAGCCAGTGGTCTGTATGTATGGCTGTATCACAGGCCCAAGGAAGAAATCTGTAATCCCCAGTGTCTGCTCTGCCCAACACAGATGTCTCCCATTTTATACAGGGAACAATCTAGTCTTGCTGAACTGCAGAAGCTGTGAGGCCTGGGCTTTCCAGAGGTGCCCTCGGGATACTCCATATCATCTATCTGCTACAGGAATTTGCTTCTGAAAATAAACATCTCCCCCATCGCCTCATTTCTCTACATGGCTAATGGGGTGTGCGTGTCTTGGCCGGTCTGATGGGAGAAGAAGTGGTCCATGCTCCAAAGGGACCTGTTGGGTGTTCTCTGTCCAGGAGTGCCATTGGAAAGGGGATTGGGGCACTTGCTGACAGTGATTGCCTGTAGCCTGTGTGATCCTTGTGCCCCCATTGGGCCTAGGGAATGGCACGTCACTGAAATAACAACAGTGACCAGATCTTCTGGGCGGGGGGCACCTTTGATCCCATGTACTGTGCATTGTGGCAGAGGGAGTTCCTGATGAGCCCTGCACGTGGGGCTACAGGTAACAGAGTCTATCCCTGCTCTCAGTGCGGTGACCACCTTGGGCGCCGAAGCAAAAGGGTGCGAACAGGCACAGCTCAGCTGGAGTGGGGCACGGGATAGAGCTATGAGCAGCTTGTTTCGGGGGGCGTGGGGATGGGGGAAGGGCAGCTCCCACTCCTGCATGCGCTCCAGGGCAAGCCTGGATGGGGTGTGTGCCGCTTGGATCTGTGCCCGGGGCGAGGGTGGGCTGCCGCCGTGGCCTTTGTCTCAGGTGCCAAACTTCATTGCTATGACACTGCCTGCTCTGATGTGTTGGATGCCAGTCAGACACTGTCCCTCCCGCAGCATCCAAGGGAAGTTCCTGGGACACTGTTGGTGACACTGTGCTGAGATGGAGGAGAGACTCTAAAAACATCAAGTCAAAGACCTGGGCCCAGTGACATGAATAGGGATGGTTACATTTAGGCTCCAGACATGAATTCAGGCCTCTCAAGCCCCGGGGACGTTTGAAAGGAGCCAGCAGCTGGGTGCCCTGTCAATCCTACCTGGCACTGCAGGATTCTGAGTCCTTTTGCCAGTGGTTCCCTGTTATCCAGGCAACCTTGTGGGGATTCAGGGCATGGGTTTTCACGTCAGCCCAAGGGAAGTAGGACCACATATGTCACTGAAAGGCCATGAAACAAAAAGTCTGTTCCAGTCAATAAAAGATCCTGCCCAAGGGGTCGGACGTGCTGGTCCGGTCATTTCATAAAGAGAGCTTGACTCCTAGGAGCATCTGTGTTGTACATGGTAGTGTCCAGAGTCTGCACCAGTGTCACCACCCCCCTGGTCTGGGCAGCAGCTCCCCAGGCCCACCCCTTTGCAGTCACTCACCCAGTACAGGTCCCTTCTCTGTGCACGCTGTGTTCAGGAGCATCACATCTCAGAGCAACCTTCCTGCTGTAAGGGGTGTCTGGGGCACAGGCAGTCAGTTTGAGAGGATGGTGCTTGGTCAGGGATTTAGAGGAATAAAAGCCAAGTTCAAGGCCAGGCATCAGTCCTAGTTCAGGATAGGAAGCTGGGGAGAGAAATGAGGTCATGGTCAAGGCAAGAAATGTCCATGAAGGAACAGGAGCAGTTGGGACCAGGAGAAACAGGTACTGGCAGTGTGGTCCATGCTTGAGGTTCAGAGCATGGTGACAATTTTAGACGTCCCAAAGTATCCAGGGACCCGACAAGGTGGTCTGTTTCCCAGACAGCTCTGTGGCTGGGGATGGGGTATGAGAATACTGGATAAGTGTCTGTACTTTCAGCACACCCCAGCCCAGCCCAGCCCTCCAGAGTATGAGTCATATGTTCCCCTCCTCCCCCATAAGGTATTTTTCACCCATTGAGCATCCAGGTATGCTCTAGGCCCCATTGGCATGGGGAAGCAGGGGCCCAGGTACTACCAATGTCTCCTTTGTCCAGGGCCGGGGGATCCTACTGAGAGCTTGAGTAGCAAGCTGTGGCTCGGAGAAGCCAAAGGACCTTAGGAGGGGCTGTACCAACATAGAGCAGGGCCCAGGGAGAGATCCCATTGAATGGAGCACAGCACCCCGGAGAGGCTGCATCCCTGGGACTGACACCATAGTTGAATGCAAAGGAGTCAGTGAATGTGCCTCCAGCTTGTTATGCTTGGATCATTGGGCTTAGAGGGTAGTAATCAATGGGTCAATGTGTAGTTGGCAGCCAGTCTCAAGTGGAGTGCCCCATGGGGTTTGTTCAGTACCTTCATCAGTGACCTGGAAGAGTGCATCCTGAGCAAGTTTGCAGATGACACCAAGTTGGGGAGAGCAGTAGCTATACTGGAGGGTAGAGTTAGGATTCAGAGAGACCTAGACAAATTGGAGGACTGGACCAAAGACCAAAAGAAATCTCACGAGTGTCAGTAAGGGCAAGTCCTGCACTTAGGACAGAACAGTCCTGTGCACCAGTAAAGGCTAAGCAGCAACTCTGCAGAAAAAGACCTGGGGGTTGTGGCAGAAATGCCACCGTCGGTGCCCCTCTCCAGAGCCCTGTCTCTGCCAGCCTGAGAGGCTGGTGTTGAATTCCTCAGGGCGGGGATCTCCCACCTTGTCTACATGACAAAAGCCTGGTGCCTGAATGCTCTGGTCACCTGGGCAGGGGGGAAAGGCCCGGCCCTGCGCAGGGGCCCAGGTAGCCAGGGATGCTTGGGAGATTGGTCGGCTTGTGGCCAGTATTGGCAGCTTCGATTGGACCGGGCTGCTGAGGTCAGAGAGG